CTTTCTATGAAGCCACAATTAGCTATAGGGAGGATTTGGATCTTCCTGATTTAGTGTAATAAGGTTTACTTGTTAGTTTATAACATCAGAAAATTTTATCAGTGATCTGCAAAATTTTGCGCCAAATTCTGTTATTGAAATGTTACAATTATTAAAAGGAACTAACAGCCACATGCGATGATATGTCGGCTCAAACGGTCTAATTCAATTAGATACGGGGTAATTGTTTTTTTTTCAAATTGCTTATTTATTTTACTATGTAAGTTATTTGAAATAACCAATAAAAATAACATTACGTTGACATCGATGAAGTCCTCATTAGAAATTATTCTAAAAATGTTACACAAACCATTGAAATCTACACAAAAATTACGACTTTCAGAAAGGAACCGTGTGACACAGCAACTTTTTTGATTTTTTTATTTATTTACTTTACGTTGAATTCAATAAATAACAATAGATATTCACAAAAAATGAATTTTGGCTGGGAACATTACAATAGAGACCCACGTTATCGCCCACCAGGAAACTCTCCACCAATGAATCCGTCACCACACCGAGAGTATTTTCCACCGATCTCAGGAAACCAATATAACAACTATCGTAATGTATATAATAATAATAGATATCAGGATGAAAGAGAGCCTGGTTGGGTAAGAGAAAGGAGTCCTCCTCCTTACTCTAGAGAGAGAGAACGTGAAAGAGATAATAGACATCGTGATAATAGAGAACGTAATAGCTCATATCGTGGAAACAATATACCACCACAAGCTCATTATGATCGAGATGGTGGTGGTGGTCAACATAACCCTTATGATTATCGTGAATTTCATCATCACAGAAAAAGATATTCGAGAGAATGGGATTTTCGTCGTAACCCACCACCACCGCCGCCACCACCATCACTACCATCATCATCATCAATGCAAAATTACAGAGATCCTCATGATCTCAGATATGATCATAATAAACCCTTAAAAATATCTATACAAAGACGTCCAAATGGTAATGATGATGGTATTAATAACAACAATAATAATAATTACAAAGAGGAATTAAAGAATGATTATCATTTTACTAGTTATTACGGAAAAGAGTATAATAACAATAATAGTAGTAATAATAATAACAACAACAACAATAATAATATTAGCAATAACAATAATTATAATAATAGTAATAATAATAATTTGTCTATAGATTTTGATAATAAAAGTTATATAAAAGTTTCAGAGGCAGATGATGATGATTATTTGGATGATTTTTCAGATTTTAAGGACAAAGATGATTTAAGCAACAGAAATTATTTTCAAAAAGTAAATGAAAATCAAAAAGGTGGTTGGACAGGTTGGCGAAGTATTGAACCTGGTTTTTGTGTATCATCAAGCAGAGATCAGGAAAATAATGAATCATTATCATCTCAAGATGATGATTTTGGTGATGGTAATAGTACTGCAGCTGCTGATTTATCAGAAAATATAATAGACCAATCCCAAGATATGGAAATTAGTTCTGGTGATACTGATATGCAACAGCAATTGTCTTCTCAAATAATAGATAATCCAAGAACAACAAATATGACAGCTAGTTCTGATCAATTTAAATCAATTGAAGAGTATGTTAAAACAAGTGAAAGACTTAATGCTGATTATGATGATGATGAAAATGCTAAAAATAATAAAGAAAATAATAGTGTAAATACTGATTCAATTGGAAAAGAACAATTCAATGTAGAAAATAAAATCATTACAATTGATGAAAATAAAGAACCAAAAGTTTATGATGATAATAATGCTTTTGAACAAAGTTTTAATAATAAAAACAATAAAAATAATAACAACAATAATAATCTGGTAGCAGGTATTCAACCAAATAATATTCCTGAAAAACAGTTGCAACAAGAATCATCAAAAACTTTATTTTCATCAACGGTTAATAAAGTCCCATCATCACCATCATCTGCACAATTAAAAGAACATACTGTTGAAAATAATTCTATTGGTGCACAACTTGAACATGTGGAAGATGAGCTCGATTATTATCAAAATCTTTTAAGCAAAATTCAAAAGCAGCGTGAAGAAAAAATGAAACTAAATAGTAATAATCAGAAGACAATGATAGATAATGATGAAAATTTGAAAATTGTTCAACAAAATGTTACCAAACCACAAATGGAAAAAAGTGCAAGGAATAGAATTTCAACTAATAAAGATTCTGAAACTTTTAAAGAAAATACCCATCCTGCTTATCCTTCAAATGAAATAACTTCATCTAATAATAATACTGAAAATATAAAAACTTGTCATATTAAAAAAGAAAACCCGGGGTCTGATAATTGCTATGATGAAGATGAGGATGATTATGACGAGACAAAAAGTAGAACGTCAGAATCCTCCCAAACATCTAATGACGAACCTCAATTATGGGAGGGTATTTATGCTCAAAATAAAGAATTTTTGAGGAAAAGAGTTAATTCTAGATTTTCTGAAGGCTCAGATAATTTGTTGCTAGGACCTGTGAAATTGTATAACAATATAGATGATTATCCATTCTTTCAACAAAATACTGATAGACATAGTCAATTAAAAGCATTTTATATTTCAAATTGTTCGATCGAAGATAAATCAAAAGAAGCAAGCTTACAACAAGAATGGAAGGCATTTTTTCAAGCTTGGAAGCAGAATGTTGAAAATTCAGTTAGTTCCAAAGGAAAATTAAAACAAGATGATGATAGTGGGTCTACAGTTGGGTTTGCAGCAAGATGGCCAGTCAGACATAACAGGGGAAAACGTAGAGTTGATGTTATTAGATCTGATGCAGAAATGCAAGATATATTAAATCAGTTTGCTGAAGCAGAACGTATAGCTAAAACATGGGCAAAAATACCACCAATGATATTGGGCGAAAAAAGAAGAGAGTATTCATGTATTATTGACAACAATTCATTTGTTTTAGATCCTGTCACATTTTATGAAATCAATGTTGATTTTAATGCTAATTGGACAATTCAAGAAAAAGAAATTTTCTATGAACAATTTAAATTATATCCAAAGAAATTTGGAAAAATTGCAGCGGCAATTGAAAATAAATCATCTAAAAATTGTGTTTTATATTATTATCAGAACAAAAAAGCATTAAATTTAAAAGAATTAATTCCAAAAAATGGCCGAGGTCAACGGATGCTTACAGCAAATAGTGGTACTAAATCTAGAAAATCCAACAATAACAATTCAACAGCAGCAACAGCAGCATCAACAACAATAACTACAGTAGCTACATCAACAACAACAAGTATTTATGATGAATCACCATATTATTTGGCTGCAACTTCTAAAGAAGAATTTGCTGTTATATCTGAAGCTACTAAAGCCAATTCTGCAAATCAACAATTTGTTTATTCTACAAACAACAACAGCAACAACAACAACAACAGCAACAACAACAACAGCAACAACAACAACAACAACAACAACAACAGCAACAGCAACAGCAACAACAACAACAACAATATGGTGAATAATGTTGAAACAAGAAATAATACAGAAAACCCATTTCAAAACCAACAAGGGTTAGCAATGGCAGGTCAACCTGACGTTGGTATTGATGAAGCAGCACGTGTTCTTACAATGATGTCATTGGAGAATGGGCTAGATACTCTTTCAAAACCTTCACAGCAACAGCATCATGAAACAATAATATTGCCTATTAATAATAACAATAACAATACATCAAAAGGCAAAAGTAGATTAAAACAAAATGAAATTATGGATGGCAGTGGTGGTAACAAGGATGGTGTTGATGACGGTTCAGGTAAAAAAACAACCACAGGTGATGGTCGTACTACAACAGGGTTGAAAGAAAAAAAGATATCATCTTACTGGAATAAAAAAGAAATAAACCAATTTGAACAATCATTGAATCTCTATGGAAGAGATTTTAAAAGAATTTCTGAATTTATTAAAACCAAATCTGAAGTTCAGGTTAAGAATTATTACGAAAAACAAGTAAACAATAACACTAATTATATTAGACGTAATTCAGATAATAATAACAATTACAACAATAATAATAACAACAATACTAATGATAATAATAATATTTCAACATCAGCAAATAATGATATTTTAAAAAATACATCTTCAGAAAAATCCGATCAAAACATCAATATAATGCAAAAGGTTAAAAATGAAGAAACTTCTGTTGTTAATCAGAGAGCCACCAATATTCAAAATAACTTTTTGTCATCAACATCTGAACGAATAATGACTACAAAATTGCCAAATATAGTAAATTTATCATCATCACATACATCGTTACATGCTACGCAAGGACATCATAATGATTCTGAGTCACAAAAACCAATGAAAATATCATCAACTCCACCTGCAACAAAGAGTTCTGTAGCATTTGTATTGAATGAAACTAATGATTATGATGAGCCCACATCACATTATGGCCGTAATAATAGTAATAATAACAATGACAATGATGATGAAAGAACAAATATAAATGATAATGATAACATTAACAAAAATAATAAAAGTCCTTATATTTCACAACAACTACAAAAAAATACAAATTTGCACAGTAGTAGTACTTCAAGGACAGTTTCATCATCAAATGAAGGAAACAAGCAAAATATTCTTTCTCCAATCTCATCATTAACTACAAAGTTACCACAATATATGACTTCTAATCAAACAATTTCTTCACACCATCATACACCAACACCTCAATCTCAGTCAATACCTCCAATACAACATATTCATCAACAAAAAGATGCGGATGCACAAATGGATGCACAAAGAAGGCAACAGCAGCAGCAAACATTTTTCCCATTAATAACTGGCATTATGCCTAGTACATCAAATCAACAACAATCTCAAACCATTTTTCAACAAGCTCATCCACAACATGTATGGGTTGACCAACCTTCACGAATGCCTTGTTTCATGCCACCTCAACAAGCTCATCAACAGGCACAGGCACAGGCTCATCCACAACAAGCACATCAGCAACCTCATCAACAGATGCATCAAAATTTGCTGCAACCTCTTCACCAACCACAGGTACACCTTCAACAACAACAACAAACACATCATCAACATCAGCAGCAGCAACAACACACAACACTTCCTCAACCAACATCAAGCAACCAACATCACTTTCTTCAACAACAACAATTTCATCATCATCATCCGCAACAACCGCCACCGCCACCGCCACCATCATCACAACAACAACAAAAAAACAACAAGTATCATGAGTATGATGCATCTAAATTGTATGGTGGTAGTCAAAATCAATATGATCGGTGGTATGATAAAAATTAATTTATTTAATTTGATTCTATTTCAAAAGTTTTTATATCTAATTTTCAATAGATTATTGTGATATTTTTGATTATTAATATATACAAAAATCATCTTAGAAGACTAATTAATGGTGAATATGTATATTTTTACTAAAGAAATAATATTTTGAATTCAATTTTATATATTAAATATACTAAAATATATATATCTGCACAAATTTCAATGAATCTAAATAAGATATTGAATGAGCATATGCAGTGAGAATGTAATGAGTCAAAAAATCTTATTATATATAATACGTTCAATTAATAAACGAGAATAAAATTATTGTTAGCAAATTTCTAAAAATAACTTAGAAAGAGAAGATAGGCCCAACCAAAGTTATATTTCAAATATATATGAGTGTGTATGTGGTGATCCAGTCTTACTGGTTTCTGCTAAAAGGTATTTGTTCCATAATTTCACACATATGACGGAAGACAGTGTAGATAGCTATATTTAAGGATTCTGATATACCTTTAGGGCATATATTACAAATCTTGTATGGCAGGAGGAACAGGCCAAAAGAAAACTTAATATTCAATCTAATATAATTCTGGAACACATCACATAAATGAATTACTTACTATGCCGGTTCGGAATTCATTAACATATTTAGTGATGCATCTCTTCAACTCATGGAAAAGTTTTTTTTGCTAGACATGTCCATAAGAAGAAGAGAAGGCGGTACCACTGAGTATAATAACAATAGGTCTATATCGCCTTCTGCCTTCCAACATAGCCAATTAAACTTCAAGCACCAGAATTGGACAGCACTATAAAAGAGTGTAATATCTAAGGACAATACGAATGGTTGCTGCCACTAATATAGGAAGACGGGATGTCATCAACTAATGATGATTCTATCAGATATGAAATTATTGGTTAATATGATATGATGAATATGATGATGATGCAAGTAAAGGTGGGTGCCGCAATTAAGATGTTGCAACATTTAGGAAAGTCCCTTTAATGCCGCAAGGTCCGCAATTAATCGCAACAGATAATTAATGGTTTCGATTTTTCAGAAATCCCTAATGGGCACTGTAATTAAGTCATTGCAACTTTAAAGATTGTATCCAATTTAGAAAAATTAACGTAATCATATAGTTGGCATTATAAACCAATCAAAATTTGATTTTTCATAATGAAGAAACTTGGGAATAATTAATTACAGTGCCAACTATACAATATCTGCAATTATGACATGTAAGGTCACTTACTAAATTATAAATAAATTTTATTTATCAAAGTTGTAAGAAAAAAAAAAGAAATACATTAACTAAGTCATCTATATCAAATTCATCCTCGTTATCATTCTCATTAAGATTAACCACATGTAATATAGAAACATCCACATACTCTATTGTTATAATTGACAAAATTGAACTTTCATCTTCAAAACTTTCACTTGGGAAGCTACAATTACAGATCATCTATAATCATTAATTGCTTATAATAACAATTGATCAACTTCAAAATACTAAAACAAAAAAAAATTGTCTCATTTTGAAAAATTTAACCGATAAGTTTTATTGTTCATGGTTCAAGCTTCAAAACTTATCGGCTGGTTTTTCCTTAAACTGAAAATTGGCTGAGCCTTAGCATTTTGAAAATTCCCGAATTTTGTTATACGCTTAAGAAATTGTGACTAAGTAAATTTCGTACAATTATACATTTGATTAACATATATAAAAGAAGAAAAAGTTGCCGTGTTACGGTGCCTTACTAAATGTTGCAATTTTCGTGTAGATTTTTT